ATTGGACTTGTCATTTGTATTAAGAAAAGTGAAAGAAGGAAATTTCCAACATTCTTTTGATGCCATTTGTGCTTTTTCCTTGCTTTTGTTTTGCCTAATAAAGATTCACAAAGCAACAAAAATTATCAAAACTTATCTTCAACAATGAAATTCGTTTGTACAAGGCAGGAACCTACTCAAATTAGCAGAAAAAGATATCCTTTTCAACTCGTTTTAAGGACAGTGCATACATCCATACCAGGGTGAATACAGTCGAAACCGTATCGTGATCAATAACAGTGACTATCGTGAGGCAAACGATAAAAGAACGTTATCACTGATACGCAAAATACGATGGCTAATATCTTTCATCATATATATTGCACATATTGGACACCAGTACTTTTCTGTTTGAATTGATCCGGGTCCATGGTTGATCAAGTCTTTTGATGGATTCATTTGCAGCATACGCCGGATCAATTGAAGTTTCTGTAACTGACTACCTACCCCTCCCTTAAGTTACAGTTTTGCCCTTAATGAGTAGAAAGTGTTAATGTTGACTTAGGGGAGGGGTGGGTGGTCAGTTACTCAGAGACCTGCCACGCCTTGCGTGGTGAAGGTTCATATTCAGCGGAAAAATGGGGTGGCACTCCGCGCGGTATGCTGCAAATGAACCTACTTTTTGTCTTTGGTTAAACAGGCAGCTTTAGCGACTACGAGGGTGATGGCATCAAAAGCCTCACTATTAAAAATACTTTAAAAAACTTTAAAATGATTTAATACTTTAACATAATTAAAATGATTTAAAATAATTTAATACTCTATAATAATTTAAAATAGTTTAAAAATTTAAAATACTTAAAAAACAGCTAAGTTTAAAAGGAGAAAGAAAGTTTAGAAGGAGAAAGAAAAATTCGTCGTCGTGTGTTTACGTCCTCCAAAAAACGTGGCAGTTGGGAATTTCACGTCGTAGTCGTACAGAAAAAAACGTGCAAAACGTGTGCTGCACGTGCAGAATTATTCTTTTGCTTATTCCTACTGCTTTTTAGACGTCGCCATCGTTAACGTATGACGGAATTTCAGTGAAAGTACGTCACATGACTCATATACAAAAAAGTTCTTTTTTAAAAGAAAATGAAATCACCAACAGTGGCGAAGCTGAAGGGTCATATTTTCTTTAAGTATAATTTATCACTGCCATGTCAGAGTCACTTCAGTGTTTGCTGATTGAAGTATGCGCCTGTTTCATAAACATATCAGTGGACAAAAATCACTATAAATTGAAGTATTAAATTACATATTAATTTAACATATTAAGGACTTACCTGGTGTTTGCGGTAATGGAGCACAGACTACCTGTTCCAGTATAGCAACAAAACACAAAAGGAAAAAGAGTTTGGAAAACATCGTCTTGGCGATGATACCTCGGTGAGATGCCTTCTTGCGTTCGTTTTGAGTTATAAACGCTATCCTGTCATCCCGAAGACGTTATAAATCGTCTTTTGCGATCAATATAAAGTTGTCAAATATCAGCAGTAGAAATTGGCCTCACTTAAGAGTTTGCCAGTCAGTGTGGCTCCTCGTTAATTATGAGTTATTATCACAACGTTCTAATTGAGAGTACAGTACAGTACAGTACTGGTAGCTGGTATCTGTTTATCGATATTATCATGTTGACTAGAGATGCACGCATACGATTTAACTTAAAAAGAACCGTTTTGTCTTTTTCTTCTGTGCGGTCATCATCACGGGATAATTACCATGGATACGGAGATATCATAATACTGTGAGCGTTAAAACTCTGTTTGTTGATTGACTATTTATGTGGGAACAGCACGCGCGTTTACTGAAAAGCCTTGCTTTTTTCACCATATTACTTACCAAATGAGTGAACCTTTGTTACTACTTTAAGATGTATTTTGTTTTTGGAAAGTTATTTTCGATCAGTACTGCGTCTGTGTGCTTTTTTTCATGAAGGTTATCTGTTTTCAACTCTCTGATTGTTTTAACTAGCAAATATTCTAAAGGTTACATTGTAGTTATTTTTAACGAAAAAGGCTGTAATAATCGAAATAATCGTGGAATTATTTTAGTTTGCTTTTGTAGAAATATATTTCAAAATCGAGAAATGCGCACTTTTTATTGCTTTTGGTTGTAGATGAGCTTAAGTGTTTGGCTAGGCAGAGACGTTTCTCTTTTTCCAACTCCGCGATCGGTTTTAACGAGTAAATTTTTTGGGCGCGCAAACGGAATGTTATTTCAGTTTTTAGAGAGAAGAGTTGTTTAATACCTGACTGACTTAGCTCGTAGCCGTGTGGTACGCGATTTGTAAGAGCTGGAGCGTGTGCAGCGTCACCGCAGATATTCAGCCCCACTGTATATTTTCGTATTCTGTTAGCAGGGGTTACTTTTTCGCTAACGGCTTACAAAAGATAACCTCTGCCTGCGACGAATAATATTGGCTCTATCTAACTCTCGACCGGCTTGAAACTCTCTTCAGAAGAACACATGTTGACGCTACTGTAAAACCTGATTATTTTGCACAATCCTAGATTCTGTTAGATAATCCTCTATTCTCTGTCAGTAGACTTGCTTTACTACTGATTTCTAGCCTCCCTCAACTCCCTCCTTTTTCGAAAAGAAAATAAAGACAAACGCCATATCGTAGGATCACAGTCAAAATGCTGGCTGTGATTAAGCGTTATTGACCATTTCCTTTTTTTGCTTTTTCGGGACTATTGTTTTATTATTGTTTTATTGTTTTGTTTGCCATAAGTTATACAAAGCAAAAAAAAAAATCTAATTAATAAACTCTCATGGCGAGGAAGCCCAGGAGAAGCCACTGGGCTTATAAGGAATGGGCTCCCTCAGTTAGATAATTAGAACAAAATATTATTATAATTACACATGGGAAAATCAATGGCAGAGCTACAGTAAATCTTAAAATAAATGTATCAGATAGTCCTACTAATCATAGTTCTAGGCTAAAAAAAGCGAAAAATCGAGAAATCGCGGTCAGTAGAGAGAACGAGGCCAACCATCAGCCACTGTGAACAAGCTTGTTCAATGGAAGACTTATTACACGTCCAAAAAAACAGAACATGTTTTTTCGGGACCATCGACGGAAATTGGATTTTTTTTTCCATTTTACCTGCTCACCAATTCAGCCATATACAGTCAACTCTTGCCTTGCGGACACCCCGCTATAACAGACACCCCGATACTGCGGACAGCAGTTGAATCCCAGGTTAAAAATGTAGTAGAGATGTTTGACTGAAATAAACTCCCGCTATTACGGACTCTTGCTAATGTGGACACTAACGTGAGGACCCTACATTTTCCGCTGTAATAAGAGTTGACTGCAGTGAGGCTTCTTATCAAAGATTTTTCTCAGCTTTCCTTCCATTGAGGTACTCATGAGTAGTCAGGTGGTGTCACCCGTCACTTTGCAGACTTTCCCCATTACTGGATTCAGAATCCTTACCAGATTGTGCACAAGATTTTATCTCAAATGCTTTGTTATTTGTCAACAGCTTAACGAGAAAGGAGAGGCCGTGGGTATAGGTAAGTTTAGCCACTTGTTAGGCTCATATGTAGCAGTTTTTATGACAAACAAGTCAAGTTCCCAGGAGACTTAAAGTATTGTTATTTCTAGCCTGTTACACCCTCTTAGCGCGGGGTGACTCCCATAAAAAGTGACGGGTTGCCTGTCGGAAAATGAAAATTAAACCCCTGATGGAGACCAGTTTGGGTGTGGCTCAAGTTTTAACCGATCTCTAAAGGAGATTTCTGTGTGGGCAGTGTCACGCACAGCCCTAAGTGATACCTGAATGGGCAAATATAGTGACTTTCCGTCCCAAACACCCTAAGTGAGACCAAAATCTGCAATTTACAGCCCTAAGCGAGACGACGAACATCCCCGTCACTTTCATATGGGAGTCCCCTACGGAGGTTCTTAGTCATTACCCGAGAAGAGAAGGAAAGAGGAGGAGGGGAGGCATCATCCTCTCTATCCCCAGTTCTCGGTCATTTTCTGTTTCAGGGACAATTTAAAAGTAAAGCGAGCCAGAAACTACCTTAAGGCCTGTAAACCTTTAGGGCCTGTTATTTAACTGGAGTTTAGTCAGTGTTTAACAAAACTGCGTTCTAAGCCATTTTAAGTTTGCCCAACGCTTTTATCTTAACACCATTTATCGTGCAAAGTTTCATGAAATTTGTAAGGTGCAGACTAGAAAGGCACTTATTTTCTTAAAATTACCCACTAAGGCAAATATTTTGAGGTCCAAAGATTTGCTAAACCGCAGCCTAACTTAGACTTCGTTTAAGTAAACGACCCTTAATCCCTAATGTCAAAATTCGTATTCTCCACATTGTTTTGCATTTGCATTGTACAACTAAGAAGATTTTTTTTTTAATTTGTTTTTTCGAGCTGTTTGTGTCACTTGCTGAATGGCGCAAAGTCCACCTTCTCCCTCGAATGGCAAACTTCTTAATGGCGCCATGGATCAATTTAGGGTTTTTGGAAACTGCCCAGCAACCCCTCCCTTAAGCTAACATTAACACTTAATTCTTACTTTGGGCAAAATGATGGGTTAGGGGAGGGTAGGTGAGCATTTTCCCAGATACCCAAATTGATCCGGCACCATTTTAGAATCTTTACGGTAGCTAATTTTGGTTGGAAAGAGAGTATTTTCATCGTTATTCTTGCGGCTTCCAATTTATTCTTCTAACTGCGATTTGCACATTTTCAGTGCAATTTGTCTTGGAGCAGGCTAGACTGTTACCGCCATTCTTGTTCCTAATCATTTGTTTCTGCCGTCATGAAGTTAACCCATACGTTACTTACAAAGTTGATCTTCTCAGCACATCACTCAATATCGCTGTATTCCTTGTTTTTTTCCAGGGCATCGTAAACGTGCAATTGCGGAAGTCATGGTTACCAAAGGCTCGGGTAACGTCACTATCAACAATGCCCCGTTGACTCAGTATTTTGTCAAAGTAGAAGACAGGTAAGGTTTCAACTGAACCACTTTTTAAATCGCCTCTTCTGCTAACTGGAAATATTAGCTTTCAAAATGAACGCCACGTGTTTTAATGATAGCTACAGAATGATGCTTAACGTAATAGCTGCAACAAAGAGATTATGATCTCTTGCTGCGACATAACTTTTACTTATATTGGCATTCTCTTCAAAACTTTCACATTCAGAAAATATAAGAAGAAAAACAGTTCGTTAATAGTACTAAAAAGTTCAAAAAATTGACGACTAAGGTGGGAACAAAACTTTAGATAGCCCTTAACTCTTATCTCCGTTAGAATGCTGCTTTATCCTCTTATAATTCTTTAGAAAAATCTGAATAAATTAATAAAAGTCGTGCGTTAGGTTGAATGAGATATAGGCTGATAGTGGTATGGTATAGGCAGCGTGATATCATCATTGACTGCTAAGTACAAGTACAATGCTCTTAGCCGATGAATTTTCCTTGTTTTTCAGGGGTGCTAGGGACAGTGATTGCAACATTCGTGATAAATATATAATGTTAATTCTCTTAAAATAATTGGAAAGTGCTCTGCATAACGAACTTTGATCCTTTTGTGACAGAGAGGACAATGTTTTCGTCCACCATTTAGCAGTATAAATGTTCATCTTATTCCCTCACTGTATCGCTGTATATTGTACAGGAAGCAAGTCATGTACCCATTCCTTACTGTTGATGCAGTGGGTGAATATGATGTGGAGTGTGGCGTGATAGGCGGAGGAACGACTGGTAAGTGATGATGTGAAGGAATTCTGACTCCTACGAATTTCCCTGAATGCGATTTAACAGGACTATCGACAAGGAAGGATACCTCTTCAGCTTCTTTTGTTATTCAACATCCCCACTGTCTGACATCGCTTCTTCCGGTTGCGAGATGTTATACCAAGCTTTTTACGAGGATAACTTTTTTTTTGCCGCTAAGTGGGTTTGTAGAAACAAAAGTGGTAGCAGAGAAATGTAAGCGTTTCAGTATACTTTTGATGTTATTGTGGATTTTGTGGCTGAGATACCCTAACTATTGTGGTGCAAATCTCGTTCAGTGTAAGAGTTCTAACAGAAATTCTGATCATTCTGTAGGTCAAGCTGGGGCAATCAGACTAGCTATCAGCCGAGCACTGTTGAACTTTGAGGATAGTTATTTGGAACCTCTTCAACAAGGTCTGATAATTACAGCGGTTTTTAAAGTAATACGGAACGTTTAGCAATTATTTTATTTTCAATGTGTTGTTACTCCTTTCTAAAGAAAACTGGCGCCACTTTTCTGGTTAATCAGAAGTCCAGCCAAAACCAATGCGGTTTGGTTGCACGAGTTTTCCAGCCCTTTTTGTCGGCTACATTTATGTGCTTAAATTTTCATTGGCTGATTTGATTGTCTCGCGTGTTGTGATTGGCTGTAAGTAAAATTCTGACTTCTGTTCTTCTTCACTCGATTGAAGCCCGCTCTACATTGTTTTCCTTTGTTGCAGTTCTCACCATTTACGTTTAAAGGCGAGTTGGACTTAAAGCTATCCTTGCGTAATAAATGTCCCTGCTGGTTCCAGCTGCCATAAACAAAAATTTGGGCGAGAGCATAACATTTAGGAGGGGTGGGGAATCCTTCGTAATTTTACTCTCCATTCTGTCTTGCTATTGTTATCACATTTCTTGTTGTCTTTGTGAGACTATTGTCTCAATATTCGTAGTTGATTCACGAGGAAGACGCGAAAGTTACCCGACCACTTGTTTTTCGCGTACATCGTTATTGTCAATATCGTTAAGTGACTAGCATTTCAACTTTGTTCATACCCTTATTATGCCGTTTCTCATGTGGGTGTTTTTCTTGTTTACTTTTAAGCTGGTCTGTTGATAAGAGATCCGCGAATTAAGGAGAGAAAGAAACCTGGACAGAAGAGAGCCAGGAAGAAGTTTGCTTGGTAAATATATCATGATTATTCCTTTTCGTTTTTAAGTCCATTGAGTCGGTAGGGCCTAGAAAGTTTGTTTTACTGGGTAACTGAAACCACCCTGGTGCTTTCTAAGTTAACACGCTTGGATTTTGCTTGATCTCCAGCATTTTTATTCTAGACGTGAGTGATTATTCCTTTATCGAACACTCAACGATAACACACTGAGTTTTCCCTCAATGAGGGTGTGCCTGTTGTTCCATATTACTGTGCTAGATCTTGTAGAGTTGGGCCCAGGTCAAACGTCGAACCTTTCATGTGATTAACCAAACTTTGTGAGTTAAGTTCATGAAAAGTTCGACATCTGGTTCCGTTAAGTTCGTCTGAATGTGTTTGGATCGTCCAACACGTTCTATCCGTCTGAAGATCGTCTCCGGGACAAACGTCGATCTTCACATGCGACGAACTAAACTAATAAATTAAAAACTTGTATGATAATGTATATTTAGCCTCGTTCGGACGAAAATAAATTAAAATTGCTTTTTGATCTGATTCAGTTGATTGGTTTGACGCGTCCTAAGCTCGACGTCTGACCCAACAGACGATCTCAACTTGATTTAGGTCGACCCAAATTAGAGTTTGGTTCGTCTCATGAAAAGTTCGACGTTTTTTGGCCTTTTTTTAGATTAAGGAAAAGTTGAGATTAAGACCTTTTTGGGGGGCTAACCTGAAATCTACATCCTTGTAGGTGAGGTTTTTTTTACTGCAGTGCTATGGTCATTTTGCTCTTTTTGCTTTTCAGGGTGAGACGATAAAAGTTCTGCATTGTTGCGCAGGATACTGGAATGGCGGATGGTGGCCTTAGACGAGCCGTAATGTATTTCCTTTGTGCAATTGCGTAGCAGAGGGAAAGGCAACAAGAAGAGGCTACTGAAAACCCTGAAGCCAAGAGGAAGTCCAGCGGAGTGTTTAACTTCAATTTCCACCAATATTACGTGTTAGTTGATCGGAAAGACAAAACTACCACGCCTTTTAGCACAAGGACGATCGGATAAAAAGCACAAATTTTATTAGTCTTCGTTAATGAGAGATTGCTAAGGAAAAACTAGGATTTTCTTTCTGCCTCAAACATTAAAATTCAAGCCTTTTATGGGCTGTTTTTAGATAGTTTTAAGTGCTCTATGCTGGCAAAGTTGAGTTGCTTCTTTCTGATTGACCCATTTCTGTCTCTTTGACTGTTATTATTTGTTACACTTGTTACTTTGGTTTTTAGTCTTAACTCGACACTCTCATAAACGTTGACCTTTGTTTCCTAGAGCAAATTTGGGAACCACACGATCACCCTGGAGTACCACTATATTGTCCTCTACAAATGTGAACATTCTTGTTCTCTTATACATCAGACCTTGCCTCCTGCTTAGGCTTGATCTTCTGCCGCTGGGGCCTGTTTCTCCAAAGTTCCGATAGCTTTTCGGGCCCGGAAAGTTGTTTTATGTTGGCCATATTTGCATTCACGATCAAAGGTTCAATAATTCTGAACATGATACAATGAAACTATCGGTTAACGAAAAAAATTAAAAGGTTTGTGAGCTAGAAACTGCCCTACTTTACAAATGGTTTTGAGTTTTAAATTTACCCTCGGCCTCGAAATGTTTTCGGGCCCCTGGTCTTGCTCTTCCCTGATAACAGCGAGAGAGAGGGGGGAACGGGCGGGGAGGGGGGTAGGGGAACCGCTTGCTTATTTCCCGAACAGCGGCTGCTTTATCGAAACATTTTATAAACAGTTCGAGATTGCACCTTAGTACCTGTGTTTGTTTGTCGTCCTACTTCAAACCAGGCATCAGGAAAAAGTGTAAGCTATAGCATGCTTCAAAAATAGCGCCACTGCATGTCCTGTGGGTTGCAAACTATTTGGCTCAGTCATAAAGAGCTTGAACTGTCCATAATAAAGCACATGACATTCCTCGTCGGGTTCAATTAAATAAATATGGCGAGAAATATTGATTTATAATTACGCTGTGCATGACCTTCAGCACGTGTCAAGCCTTAATACACTTTCCCGTCTTCAAACATTTACCTAGGTTCCTTGATAGTTTCAGGATATCAAGGGATGTTTATTCTAGCTGATATTTCGCATGTAGCAGCTGCTGTCATTTGTTGGACTGGTGCAGTGGTATTTTTGTCTAATCGCCTCTTCAGAAACGAGAAGGGAACTGGAGCCGAAATACGTCCCGCAATTGTTTCTGGGATTGTTACTGGGAACGCGTCGGTCAGCTATTGGCCAACTATTTTTCTTCCTCTGGCCCTAGTAACAGTCCCAGAAATCTTTGCGAAAGCTAACTCGGCGCAGTTTTCTTCTCGTTTCTAAAGTGGCAAATTCTCAAATTTTGAGGCGGTAGTTCGCTATTTCGTTTTCGCCAAGACAGGTTAATGGGTAGCCCGCGAATACAGCCGTTTCTCCTTGCTTCTCGTTTCTAGGGACGTTTCGTTTCCTTCTGGCAAACCGTCCCTAGCGGCGAGGAGCAAGGAGAAACGGCTGTATTCGCAGGCTGGTTAATGGGACGATTATGCACCCTTGGCGTTCACCAGCATCGGTGTTCACGCGATCTTCTGCCATTTTCTTTAGCTCTGCTGTCCCAGACAGCTCACCGCACCCCTTCTTTGCTTGACGTCTGTGAGACCCTTTTCAGTCGATAACACCACTATTGACGTTAATCGTACATCATCGCGGCAAACATTTACTAGAATGGTGGATGCTACAGTAGCTGGTTATGAAGAGTTAGCGTGGGGAAATAAGACAATCTTCTTCAGGCCCCCAAGTCCGGATCCCTCTAAAACTTCTGCAAACATCTTAGAACAAGAACAACGATTGTTCTTTTTCTTTTTCAAAAAATAAAAAATGCGCCCATTCTAAATGTTCATTCACACTGCAGTCAGCAGTACCAAAACCAGGCCAGATCACTTCGCTGACGGCACTGCAACACGAAATACAGCAAAAATAAGTATTTTATATGTTGTACGTCTTCATAATAGGCTAAGATAAGGCGATCTTTTTTTGCGAATTAAATGGTGAACCCTGTAAATTGCTTCGTTATGCAATGTTTCCAGTTGTATTCATTTTAAACAAGCGCTCACATAGTGAGTTTGAGACGCTTGAGGAGGAAGGCTGGGAGATCAGAAGTGCGAAGGACGAAGTGTCTTCCCCATCCCCGCCCCTTCGCTGCCTTCTGTGACCTGTGCGAACTGAACGCCTGAACCTTGTTTCGTTTTTGACAACCCGTCTCGACTAGCAACGCTTACTTTTTACAGCAGAGAATGCGGATGTAATCTGAAGTGAGATGAGATTGTCTCTCAGTGGTTACCCCTGAGGAAACAACGTTATCACGTGACTCTGGCTTTAATTGTTATTTCCAGGCCTAATAGATCACGTGCTCAAATTAGAGTGTCGTCGGCCATATTGATTTTCCGCATTTGGCGAGAGAGCCATTCTGACCCCTTGTTTACCTTAATTTCCCCCTCCGTATCTAGAGTTTTGGCCTCTCATTGATAAAAATGTCTGTAGCCGACAAGTTAGACGCCGCTAGGCACTCTATAACGGGTTCTTATGTGGCTAAAGTTGTCTGTAAGTCTTCGAGCCGTGAGGTTATGGGTCCGAAAAGGAAGCACTTGGATTGTAAGCTTAAGTTTGGTTTGCATAGATTTGAGAAAATATTATGGAGATTTTGTTTCCTGAGGTTAATGGCAGTTTGTGTGTTGCATTTTACTCTATAGATCTGACCGCGTGCACACATAATGACAACGTTTCCATCCCAAATTTAGCGGAGTTACTATTCGAGCGATGCACAAACTCGAGTTGGGTTGTAGTTTTCAAAGCCGAGTGCACCTTCCACCATTTGATGTCGTACGGAAATGAGGTGAGAATGAAAAAGTTAATTGTTGTTATCCCGAGCAAGCTTTCTTAGAGGTGTGAATATAATTTACCACCCGTCCGCAGATGTTTTGGAGGCAGAATAGTTACCTGTCTCGAAATTATTTTATTTTTCTTTTCGTTTGTCACTAAAACTGGCGTATCTCTTGTTTGGATCGAATGTCAGTGTCTAGCGGATTTTGTTGTCGTCTCGCATGAAGATGTCAGTTGTTGTCATGACTGCTTTTAGTGTTAGAACGCTTTAGCGATACGCGAGCCACTGTTACCCAGTTGTTATGATTATATGACAGTACAGAACTTAAATTGTCAATGAGCCGAGAACGACTGCACTTACGCACACCTTGAGCTGGAACTTCGCATAATATTAACTCACGTTCAGTCTCTAAATTACACTTTATAACTACATTATCTGTTTGATGTGTTGTCTAATCATCCATTTTATGAGAAACTTTAATAGAACAACTTGAGTTATTTTTGGCGTATTACTATCGTTTTCCAAGTTTTCCTAATGATTTATGAATATCGTGCTGTTGGTGTTGAAATAATTTGCCGTAGATAAAGGTCACAGAGTAGCATTTTTAAATAGGCTTTGTTGCTGCCAATTTTTTCCGTTCCTTGTAAATTTAACATAAACTTTGATGAGAGGTGTTAAGAGATTTCAGTTTTATAATAATGATAATATCTGTTCTCCTCAACTTTAGATAACTAGCACTTTATAGTAATTTATCTCCACTTTTAATTTCAAGGTTAAGAGGTTCAGTTTTTGTGGAGGGACTTGCAGTGATTTTAGAGCTTAAAATTCCAGCCTTATTTTTTGCTTAAAGTTCTATTTCTTGTTAATGTGTCCCTTTCATAAAAACAAGTGATTTAAAATGTGCAGTGTGCTAGTTGTCTGAATAGAACTGAGGCTTATCCAGATGATTGTGGTTATGTCTTATGATAAAAACTACAAAAAAAATTGCAAAAACAAAATTGTATTGAAACCACTCTTAGATTCTTGGGGCAATCAGTATCTTAGCACGTATCATTAATTTTCCTCAGAATTAAATGCACTTAAGTAGAATAATAATGGAGACCCTGTCGTTTTTGTATGCTTAGATGATTGAGCTGATTGTACCAAAATCATTTATAAGTTTTAAGGAAAATTGCATGGGGGAATCTAGATGATCTGGAATGATAGGGAAACCAGTCTCAAGCAAACTAGCATATTTTCCCTCCAAAACTTTGGCAAAACACCGAGTCATTTTGTTTCAGCCTTCAGGATCATGTACTACCTACTTGCTGGGGAGTGAATATTGCTGAATAGCCTGATTGGGGCTAACCGATCAGATTGTTTAAAACACCAAGGCCACTGAATGATTATTATCTGTTTGAATTGTATTCCATTTCAGTTTAATATCATTATTTATTTTTTGGCTTTAGAGGTTTATTCAATATTTGGCATCAAGAACCTCCAACTTCAGTCTTGGTAACTTTCTGGACAAAAGTGGTGTACAAGGTACAGTGTATGTGCATGTAGTATTGGCTGTCACGCATGGCTTGCATGTTACATAAAATAATCTAAATAAAGGAACGCAGTATGGGAAAAAATCATCATGTTCCTTTGAAATGTATTTAAACATTCTTACAGTTTTATCCCCGTAAATCGTCTCAGGTTGTTGTTTTCTTTTGACAAGGATATGATATGTCTACTTTTGTGAGAAGATATGGAAAATATTTGAATGAGAAGGCATCCTCTTACACAGAAATGGGATATGACTTCTGTCGACTAAAAAGAGGGTAAGAAACTTCTGCTTAATTTGTGTCTCATAGTCGGATGTCCTTTACATGACTGTATGCACAGTGTTCTCCCAATTTTAAAACAACTTAGGGAGAAGAAGTTAATTGTTTGTTTTAGTAAAGGACAATTTGTTCAAATTATAATATAATTTAGGTGCTCTGGAAAGGGAACTCTGTTTGGCTCAAATTATCTCCTACAGGTTTGAAAGACATTGTTTATCTGTATCAGGATTCTATTTTTGATGTACCTTACATGTATTTGCAAAGAAATAACTAACTTTTTACATTTTTCTTTTTAGTAAGGAAGAAGGTGTTATAAGAACCATGGAAGCTCCAAAAGTAAGTTATCCAATCTTTGATAAGGTTTAATTGTTACCATTTGTTACCTTTACAATGAAAAATTAAAAGTCTATGATTATGATGGTGATGATGATTATTATTATCATTTTTGTAACATGTATGTAGAAGTTAATTTTTTATTTCAGGTAATTTTTGTTTTTCTTTTGTTTTTGGGTATGGTAATATAATTATGCTGATGAAGTTGAAACAAAAGAAAAATAAAAATTACCTGAGATAAAAAAATTAACTACAACATGTACATCCTAGGAATTTTTAGTTTGTGTGCAGATACAATGTAAATGTACATGTGAGTGAAGAGTACTACATGATTGTACACTTTTACAGAGCACTTGCACCACTCATGAGTTTGAAATAAAGAAAGGTTATGCAATTGATATGTTTTATAAATGAAATGAAGCTGACTGTAAAGGCTGTGAAATTGGGGGAACTGTCCTATTACATGTAGTTCCTAAAACAGTCAACTCTCTTTAACTGCACACTGCTCCATTATACAAGATTGACACCTCCCTAAAGCAGGTACATGTAGTTAGACCCTGCTGCTCTTGAATGATTTTATTTGAGATGGATACATCTTCAAGATAGGTGTTTAGGCAGTTTCTTTTGTGTCTGTCTTAATTGGTTGATGTCTGTTCTTACTGTTTCCCAAATACATGTACATTCTGTATAGGGCTTCTGATATTTCACGCAGTCGCGGAGCCGCGAAATTCGGGTAAATCTGCAAAATCCCGCGAAATTCACAAAAACACACAAAATATCGTGAAATTCGGTATAAATCTTATTGAATACATGTCGGTACAGCATTTTTGAAACTTATCTCAGTTTACTTGCCATAAACTTGCAAATTTATCTTGAAACTTCGTCACTAAAACGTGCAAACAACGTCCGAAACTACCAGGCGTAGATTATGTTGCGAAAAACTGGGTACTAGCCATGATGGTAAAGGCTTTGCCATTGGTTCATTTCTGGAGCATATTGTTGTTGAAAGAGCAAATGATGACTTCTGTTAGAAAAACATTAAAAGCGCTGGTCTGATCAGCGCAAAACTGATCGATTGCTAGAGAAATTTGCCCCGAAAGTAACCACAAAATCCGCCGTTTCTTTACTGCTTGCTCTTCAGTGAAGTTTGCCCGGAAAATTCCAGCGAAATCGGCCGATTTTTCCACGAATTTGTCCCTAAGAATCCCGCGAAATTTGCCTTTTTTTTTTGCAACCTATCAGAAGCCCTGTCCGTAACTCTAATGACAGCAGACTGTTTAAACTCTTCCTCCTTCATACATTAGGGAGCTTAAGCAACAGCATTTTTGAGCGACGGACGTCAACCGGAAGTGGACTTTTTGCATCATTGGGGAGCGGTTTGGTTGAAACTCTTGGGTAAATCGTCTTAAAAATAGAAAAGAAACTCAGCAATACAAGTTTGTTAGCATCAAGGCATATAAAAAGGGAGAAGGCCTCACTTCCGGTTGACGTGTGTCGCTTAAAAACGTCTTTGCTTATGGTCCCTATTGTCTTTCTGCTTGATGTTAACTCAATCTTTTTCTTGCTTGTAATTTGAACTGGTGCCAAAACGTTTCACATAGAAAGTTAGTATCCATTTATTTTTGCTCCAAATAATGCCTGCACCAAGGGCTACCCCTCTCTTGTTAGATACAAAATTAAGCTATATACCAATATGTCATGTTTTCTCCTATTTTGACCATGTAGATGATGTTGTTATGTTCCCTTTATAGCTTCTCAAAGCTCTACCTGTCCTGCAACAACAGATTGATGCCTTACTTGAAGTAGATGTAAGTATCTTTTATGGTTGTGTTTCTCTTTTATTGCTAATTGGCATTTATTTTTGTCTTTTTTTATGTTTTGGTCTTGTAATTTCTAAATACAGCAGTACAAGGCTCGAAATAATTTCCGGTGAGTCTCCGGACACCGTGACTGGCCAAATTCATTCTAGTGCGATCACATATTGTTTCTGGCCGGTCAAATTTATGAGATAAATAACTCTTAAAACAAGGGTCCATGAATCAAAACTGGCTTCATATAATTATTTCCAAGAAACAGAGCTTCTGATACTTCTTGGGGTTGTGGAGCCGTGAAATTCAGGTAAATCAACGAAATCCAGCGAAATTTGCTAGAACTCTTATCAAATACATGTCGAACATATTTGAAACTTATCTTGGCTATATTCAGTATATTGGGGCTGTTTAATTGCCGTAAACTTCATCACCACAAGGTGCAAACAATGTTCCAAAACTACCAGGCGTAATTGAATTATGTTGCGAAAGACTGAGCACTAGTCATGATGTTAAAAGCTTTGCAGTTGGCTCATTTCTCAAGTGCTTTATTGTTAAAATAGCAAATGATTATCTCTGTTAAAAAATGTTAAACATGCTCGTCAGATCAGTGCAAAATTGATCGATTTCTAGGGAAATTTTCCCAGAAAATTCCTATGAAATTGGCAATTTTTTTACTGATTGTTTTTTTGTGGCAAAGTTAGCTCTGAAAATTTCAGTGAAATCCCTGTGAAATCAGCCAATTTTTCATGCGTGAACCCCAATGTATTTCCATGCCTGAAAAGAACGGTTCTAGTTTCATTTCACCCAGGATTACAGATCAAAGTTCCACAATACACAGCGACTCGCTACATACTGATAACAACTGAAACAACTGAACATGATGGAAATTTTGATTTATTTTATTTTCAATACGATCGAATGTGACCGGACAACATGACTGGCAAGATGAAAGGTTGACCGGTCAACTCCCCAATCAGTCCGGACATTGTCTGTTGACCGAGCCCTACAGACACAAAGCAGACCTGTGCTGAACCACTTTACCATGCCTTCTCCAGGGGACTCTTATTACTTTGTACTCTGCACAACAGTTCAACAAAAACATAGCCACACAATGAAATATTGTACATGCACATGTGCCTTTTAACATTCTTTTGTGAATTAAAACTGTGTGGTTTGAATGCAAGCTATCTTGTATTTCTGATGTGTACAGTGCATGAATGTGATCTGCTGTCCACAATTTAAAAAGTTTATATCCTTTTACCCTAATTATTTTACTTTCTCTATAGATAAAGTCAAGTGAACTAACAAATGGTGTGATAAACAGTGTATTCGTACTCCTGTTTAAGGTATTGGAGAGAAGTTCCTTTCTACGTTGTTGTTTCTTATTAACAGAATATTTTGCCTGTTCGTTTTTGTTAGTAAATCTGTAACCAATCATTTTGCTGGGCTGGCAGAATTCAGCTATCTTGTACACTGACAGAAGAGAAAGTTTGTGTGTGCCTGCTGTTAAGAAAATGACACCTCTATCTCTCTTTAAAAAGCACGTGTATGTTGGGACTGTGTGAGAATCCTGGAAAATACATTATTGTATCTTCATTAAGGCAGCTTTTGCAAATGTTGTTTTACTCTATGCAAATACAGTGGTCGAATTTAGGAAATGGCTTTTCTTTTCTTCTTGCCAAATATGTGCTGTGAATATGTTCTATGCAAAGACCATTAACATAAGTAAGAAGCTAATAGAAACAAGTACAGCTGTTACAAAGTTTTAAGTAATAAGCTGGCTTTTAAGGTAAGCAAAGGTGGGAAACAGTTCTTACATGTACATGTCTTGGTTGTGTTGCTCACTTTGCCGACTTGTGTAATGTCTCTTCACCAATATCTGAATCAATGTATTATAATTTGCTGTAAATTTTGCTATTTCAAATATTTTTAGATTTCAGTTATGGCACTTTTTCTGTTCTGTTATTAATAGTTATGTAGGATAATTGTTGTAGATTTGACATTGTTTTTGCAATATACTTTCAGGATTTGATCAAATTATTTGCTTGCTACAATGATGGTATAATAAATTTGCTTGGTGAGTAGTGCATGCTTGTGTCCAGTTTGTAACTTTGTGCATGCTATGTACATTAATAATATAATGTGATAGGATAATAGTGAGTTTAAGCAACAAAGGTGGCTATGGTAATGAGAACAGCAAAAAAGCAATAGGTTTTATGAGCATACATGTGCATGTAAGAACATTTTTGCACACACATCATGCTTTTTGTACATTTCTCTGATGTTCCTGAACATGAACACGGAGAAAAAATTTCTTTTTCTTTTTCTAAACTTAGATACAGACCTTTAGGATGCAGCCCTAGAAATATTTGCTAACAATTTACAAATTGGATGAGAAGGAACAAGGGCGATGAAGTTTGTAACAGTGCGAACATTAATTTTTATTATTTTTTAATAATAGAAAAGTACTTTGACATGAACAAGAAAAACTGTAAGGATGGCCTGGACATATATAAAAAATTTATTACAAGAATGGATAGAGTATCAGACTTTTTAAAAGTTGCCGAGGATGTGGGTTTTGACAAAGATGATATTCCTGATCTTAGCAAGGTAGGCAGAATTAAGCAGCAGCTTGTTTGTAGGCAACAGAGAAACTACTCAAAAAATCAAACAAAATAGCCCAAAACATGCTTATGTCTTCAGTGTACATACAGACATTAACAAAATCAAACCAGAACCAGCAAATCTCCCAAAAGTGATTTTGTTACAAATAGTTGTGGTGAGTACTGGGACTCATTTTATTTGTGAAAAAACATGAGTCCCAGTCCAGAACCATTGAAACCAAGCTAAAAAACAATAGTTCTAAATTGACATTGCTTGGGCCTTTTTGTAGCCAGACTGTTTTAACACCAAAATTCTGTCAGTCCTTCTATTACTAGTGCAACAAAGACTAAAAGAAATATGTTTCGTTAAAATCATACGAACAGGATATTCAACAAAACTGTCTTCAGATTGACCCATTGATACTTGCATCCCAAGGGACACATGGCATGAATTATTTTGCATTTTTGGAGACAGGGATGCAGGGCACAGAGTAAAAAAATCACTGCACCAAAACCCTTGGGACGGGAACAGTCAAAGTTCCCATAAGTGACCACCCAAAATGTGAAGAGTTACAGACTGTAGTGGTTGCATACCAGAGGTGGTTACCTACAGGAATTAGTCCTCAGGGGATCCCTTCCAAGTGGAGATCCCAATACATTTTGGTTCTTCACTTACTCTGAGTATCGTAGTACACACAGTAGATCAGAGATCAGACCATGAGTCAAGAAGTCGTTTACAAGGGAGTAAAAACAATTGAAAATTATAGAAGCGTCAGCCCAAAAGGTGCTTGCTTACGAAAGGTGTTAACTATTAGGGTTTGCCTGGAAAGTTTTGGTGTTTTGGTAGATGGTCACCTACAAGAAGTGGTCGCACATGGAGGTTCGACTACATTAGATTCTGATAAACTGCTCACCGACTTCAACAATATATAATAACAATACAATAATAACCCAACAACCCAACCCAAAGTTTTGCCCTACAGTGTAAGTGCCTAAGTGAGAAGTTACTGTTAATGCATGTCAGAACTGTTTCTCCAGACAGTAAACTCGCGCTCACGATAAAGAACAGAACTGTTTTAATGCTTCTAACTCTCTCTAGGTAAAGATTACAACTCTTGCCATGTGCTTTTTTCTGCTGATCGATCACTTCTTGAAGTGATATCCTATAATATCCATGATCCTAACTCCCAGGCCCCAATGACCTTAGGGAGTGCCTGACTAGTGTACAAAGTAAAAAAAACTTTAACAAAACATTCTTAACATCCCAGTATCAACCTACAAATTCTCAAAATACAGTAGGTGGGCAGTTTTGCAGATTCTTATACTTATCTTGGTTGGTCAAATATTGTAATATCAGACTTGTTGAAATGTGAAAGTCAACTACTGGTCTACGTGTTCTTTTGTGTCAGGCACCTAACAGTCTTTTGGATGCCCTTGAAAATCATCTACAATCTCTGGAAAAAGGCAAGACGAGCAATCCACCTACATCAAAGTAAGTGCCTTTCATTGTTGATAATAATCCTTTCAAACATTCCTTTAAACAAGGACACCAACCAATGTTTGGGGTGATTTGTAAGAAAATGCCACCTGAAGCTGCCTCTTCATTTCCTTGTGGTTACTCGCTCGAGTGGAATGCAGGAGAGGTTAGGGTTAGAGTAGAAATCTGGCTCGTTAAAGTGTTTTTTACCATGTGTGTGCCTGAAACAAACTAATGTTTTGAAGAAAGGAGACAAGTTGGACAAAGACTTACTATGTTGTCAACGTATCATGTTTCTATCTAAGGAGCCAGTTCGAACATTTCTGTTGACATTTTGATAGCCAGGTAAAATCCTCCCTCTCATTCTGACATCCTCTAAAATTACTGACAACTATATACACATGTGCTTGCAGCTGTAACTGGAAACTTCTGAAAATGTTATTGCGATCTTATCACCACACACACACTTTATTAACAACTGACATGCATGAAGTCTGTTTCCTCCTGCAAATAGCAGGTGCTAGTCGAGTCGGGCAGAGAAACGTGTACAGCAGTCAGTGATAAATAGAATGGTTAATTAAAAAATAATAAAGGAATAAAACTTAAATGCGAATAAATGACAATTACAAAATCAACCACTTGTATCAGTTACAGGTGTATATAACTGCAAAACTCAATTAAGCTATTCATACTGTGTAGTTTGCCATTTTCTAAAGCAGAATGGGCACTTCAACATAATTGTCCTTAGCATCTAATATTAAAAGCAACATGTTATTGATATGCACCTAGCAAAAGAACCTTGGGTTTGATTCAGTCAAAATATGTTAATGTAAAACTTGCCGGAGGAAGAGAACCTGGTCTCATGTTCATGCTATTCATTAGCTTTAGTGAAAAGATAACTAATGTTAGTGGGAACAGTTGAAAATGAGACATTGCACATTATTGATGAAACTGTTTCAACGTATAACATATTTAAAGGGAGGATTTTTGAAGAGGTAAATAAAGGCACCATATGTGCTCTGGGTTCAGAAATATACATTAACCAAAGGACACATTTTTGCTGCATAAGGAGTTTTCATAATCTTGTTTGCTCATGATTGGAATGTGGATTTGGTTATTAAGAAATAACAATATATTTTATCCTTTTTTTTTTTTGTCAGACCTCTAACAATCCCCAGCATCACTCTTCCTCCATCTGCTACGGATGCTTTCAGTGCTGGCAAGTTCACAATGAAGTTTGAAGGAGATGATTCTGTGGACACTGCTCCAAAAAGTGACCTTCTTGAAGAGGAAGAAAGATATCTTGAAGCTTTCAAGGTAAGCAGAGATTGAATGAACATTCAGTTTCTTGCAATTTCTGTCACACATTGGCTTAGGTTCATAAGAAAGTAACATCTTTATTCATCTCAATGCAATGGCCTCCTTACTTGAATGTATAACTAAAGCTTGAAATTATAGTAACTAATATTAATGACAAGTAATGGTAGCCGGACTGAGTGGAATCCAATTCAGTCTGTAATCATACGAGTGATTAACCCTTTCAGCCCTAAGAGTGATCAGCATGAATTTTCTCTTTATAATGATTATCAATGCTTTAGAAAACAGAGTGGTCATGAGACTTGAGTACATGATCAGGGAAGATGTGTCTAATTGATATTTCAACAAATTCTCCCCACTACGTCTATTGAAAAAGTATAGGGACTGTAAATGAGAATCTCAATTTCAATATTAGGGTTTAAAGGGTTAACACAATCAGATGATTGCAAAGCGGGAGTCCGATTTGTTTAATCTCAAAGTTTTGTTGCCAATAATATTAATCATAACTTTAACAAAATTTGTGATATACAAGGGTCTTTTTTTAAATCAAAACACAAGAAATTCCAAAATTTTTTTTGCGAGCAGTGAAAAAAAGCTATTTATGTGCGTGCCTGATGGCACGTACTATCATATTAAGGCTGAAATCAGGGCAGTTGATAGCCAGTCAGATTTGAGAATTTTGTTATAGTTATGATTATAATAATAATAACGATAATGACAATGATAATAATGGTGATGATACTGTAGTGAATGTAATAAAAAACACTTTTGTGTACTGTTGGGTCAAACCCTGTTAATATGGACATTGAGGGGGACGTAGAAAGTGTCCATATTAACTGTGTGTTTGTAGGACTTTTTCCCCCCAGGGACAAACCAAACTGTCCATAATAATGAGGTGTCTGTATTAATCGGGTGTCTGTAAAGCGAGGTTTGTCTGTTAAAATTTTTCAATCTCATTTAAATCTTTTAATTTCTCCTTTTCCTTACAATCTTGTACATGCCTCAATCAATCAAATAAAGGAATTTTGTGTCAAATGCTAATCTATGCATACTTACATGTATGAAGGCCAAGACATTTAACCCTTCAAGCCCTAAGAGTGATCAGCATCAAATTTCTCCTTGTAATATCAATGCTTTGTAAAACAGAGTGGTCATGAGAATCACAGACATGATCACACAAGATGAATTTGCTTGATATAATAACTTCTCCCCACTACTTCTGTAGGAAATGAAGTGGGGCAGCAAATGAGAATTCAAAGTTTGGTCTTAGGGTTTAAGGGTTTAATTAATGTACAGCACATAAGAAGGCTTTACATGTAGATTTCTGATTACTGATCATTTCTCTTCTAATCAGAAGGCCAAAGAATCCGGGACTCAGGTGCAAGTACCTGCTGCCCAGCCAGCTCAAGCTAAAAATTGGGAGCCATTGGGTGAACCAATGGCACCTGTACCTGCCCCAACATCATCTCCTAGCGATGACCTGTTGCAACTTAATGCTGCATTTTCAGTACAGCAATCAAGCTCTACAGCTTTTTCGCAGAGTCCTGCCTTCCCACCTAGCCAGTCCTTCCCTGCAGCTCAAGGATTTGGACAAAGCCCGGCAGTGTCCAATGGCTTTGGTGGAGCACCCCAGGCAGGTCCTTGGGGAGGTTCTGCGGCAACTCCTGGTAAGATTCAATGTTTCAGCATTAAACATTTACTTGAAAACTGGATTGATGGGCAGTAACATGGGTTTTGCAAATGCGTATATATCCATTAAAACTTTTCCCACACTTTGCCTTCTTAGGTTTTCCCAGTAGTGCCTCTGCCAACCCTTTTGACAGCCAAACTAATGATGATTTTGCTGCTGTGTTTGGTCAGCCAGCTGCCGTGGACAGTACTCCAGCCATGGGTGACATTCTAGTTCCTACTGTGTCTAGCACAGGGAAACCAGCACCAGCACCAGCAATTCCTGTAGAAAATAACGTGAACACGGATCAGTCAGGGGGCGACTTACATGCTAGCTTAAATAGAGTTGCCAAGTCCTTAGGTGAGATGCCACCGACGAGTCTACACGTACATACATGTTGTTACATCTGCAGGCATGCACTGTAACAGGGGTTTCAATAAAAATTGAAGTAGCCAGCAGGTTTGAGTAGAGTAACCGACTGAATCAGCTATTGGTCCCCTTTTTCTAGCGGGGGAGGTTGGGGGGGGGGGTCTGGGCTCTTTCTAACCCAGAAAATTTTGAAATTTCAAAGCCCTAAAATGCGATTTTTAGCGTTCTGGGGAATAAATTTGAGGACAAAAGAGTGTGTTTTTCATTTTAAAAAAATGTAGCGTTCAGTCTATCAGTCACACAAATCAATTCCTACAAGCAATGAACTATAATTGATGAAAACTAAATTATGTACTTTTGCACGTAAACAAATTCTGCGTAAACCTATAAAGAAACTTGTGAAAAAATGTCTGAAAAATAGCATTCACATGACTAAAGCATAACGTAAAACCAGTGGGCCTTTGTGAAAACACATCATAATTATGTTTTCATTCGGATTTTATGATATATTTTTTGTTTACAACATTATTCAAACTAGTTGCTTCTCCTCCTAGAAAGAAGTAGTGGACGTCTATGAACAAAGTAGCTGTCGTCGCTGGTGCTTATTGAAACCCCTGCTGTAATAAATTATCGAACCCTTATTAATCAATTTCTAGTAGTGCCAGAAATTGTTTGAGTGTGATGTGTTGATTATTTTTGTAAATAGAGAAAACAATAAAAATTGCATGCCTGCCTTGAAGCTGTAGAATGAAGGAATGAGGTTTTAGAGTCTAAATTCCTCTGCATTAGTGGAGGAGTGAAACACAACAAATTACATTGCCTGAGTTGAGCAAGTACATAACCTTGTATCTTCTACAACAATTTCTCCAGGGTTCGTACAGGCCATGGAAAACATGGAAAGTCATGGAATTTAATTGCCGTTCCTTGAAAGTCATGGAAAATTAAAGTTTTGTTTGGTAGATTAGTTACTGCAGATGACAATGCATTTTGGTGGATACCAGAGTTTATTTCTGTTTAACTGTTTGAGGTAAAAAATATGCTAAAATGAGTAAAGTTTTGGGAATTTTAGAAAATGACAGCTAAACCCTAAGGTCATGGAAAACTAGAAAAGGACATGGAAAAAGTCAGGGAAAGTCAAGGAATTTGAAGAACTCAAAGGAGTACAAACCCTGTCTATGTTTCTCGTTTCCTCTTCTTATACTGGCGTGATAATCCACTTGGGATGTTGGGAGAACACTCGGAGAGCTTGTAAATCACTCGCCTTCGGCCAGTGATTTACATGCTTTTCTCGTGTTCTCCGAACGTTCCGCGTGGGTTATCATGCTGGTAAACCCATGGAAAGTGTTGTCTATTGCTTAAATATTTTTGTAATATGTTTGTTCACATGTGTTAGATTCATTGTCATTCAATGGTAACCTGAAGGGTCCATCTGGTAAAGCACAACACCAGTGGACTGCACCAACACCTCAAAGCAAAACAGGTGGGCCAAACTGGCAGCCACCACCCACCTCAAGAATGTCACTTCTCCAACCAGGAGTGCAGGGAGGTTTCATGGGTGCTACTCAGCCTTCCGTGCAGCAACCAACTGGTTTTAGACCGCCTTTTGCAGCTCAGCCAATGGGACAACCTTTCATGGTGAGTATTAATAATAATGATAATGATAATAATAAATAAATGAATAATAATAATAATAATAATGAGTTTTTTTATGGTACATTGATTCTTAGTGTGCTAGCTTGCGAATACAGCCGTTTCTCCTTACTCCTTGCCGCTAGGGACGTTTCGCCAGGGGGAACAACTGCGCCGCAGCAACAAAAATTCCATACTGATGACATAATATCTTTCTAGAATCTGGTCAGGAGCTCTGATTGGTTGACATAGTAGTTATATTGTTTTACCTACATTTGTATTGTTTATGAATGACTGATTAAAGGCAAAAGTACACAAAGGTCAAATGTAAACAGGGTCGTAAATGTGATGAATTTACTATAAAACAGTCAATATTCCTGGAATGTATTCTCTTTAGAAAAAGCATGTGATATTTGCTGGAGCTCATTTCCAGTAGAACACAAAATTTATCCTAATCGAACAGGAGAAACATAAAATCAAACAAATTTAAACTGTACATTTTTTAACTCCATGACTATGGGATTTATTATGTAAACATTGATTAATGTCATCAGTATGGAATTTCTGTCACTGTGGCGCAGACGTTCGTCCTGGCAAAACGTCCCTAGGTGTGAGGAGCAAGGAGAAACAGCTATATTTGCAGGCTATCAATGTGCTTACCAAGGTAAATTGAATTAAATCTAAGTGAACTACTGTATGTACAGTAATAAAGTTAGGTTGATACTCTTGTTAGATCCCCATCTACACAAGCATAATTATTTTTGTTTGACAATCTTTTGTGATAAACAAGAGAGGGAACATTGCCCAAATATGTGGCTAATGTGCCGGAAATAGTGGTGCTTCAGGATTTATGTCCAGAGTTTGAAGAGATGGACAGTCAACAGTCAATGTATGGTCAAAAGAAGACTCTGTCTCATTGATGAAATCCTTGGATGACTGGACACCTTCTTTGGTCATTTCTGATGGAAAATTTAGCTCTGAAGTTCTTATTTTAGATATGGGCTCTGGTAAAGAAGTATAGTTTGTACAACTTATCACTTGAAAGTTGCTACATATCCAGAATTGTAAATGGTTTTCAAGCTCCCTCTTCTTATGACTTAGTAACCAAGCCAGCATCTGTGTGACATCATGTCTTGTGTGCAAGAAAAATAACAAATTTTCTTTACAAAAATTACCGTGTAATAGCACATAAACTTTTGAGAAAGGTTGTCGGAAAAAAAGTTGCACTCAACAATCCTGAAAGGTAATATGTGATATGATCAATACACTGTCCCTGACATTGTAGCTGTCGAACCTATTTTCGTGGCTTTCCTTTAGCACTTGCAAACATCTGTGCGTGGCCTCTTTTGTGCTATTTTATCAAATTTCTTAGAAGAACAGTGAACTCAAAAATCACCCACAGTACCTTCCAGGACTTGTGCATGCACTTTTTGTAACAACCTTTCTTGATATGGCTGTAATCTTGTATTTATGGTATGTATCCGTTGTTGTTTTTTCCTCTGTAGCCTGGCCAACCAGGAGTGTTCCCTCAACAAGGCTCATTTCCATCTCAACCATTTCAGCCACAGAGACCCACACAGCCCGCGTCGGACCCATTTGGACCAATACCTGGTAGTCAGGTAATTTCTATGTCCTTACACTTTGTTCAGGCCTTCTATGAGAGTGCCAAAATGTGAGAAAATTGTGCTGAATTTTTATGAGGTCACTTAATGCTGCAAAAAGGTTTATTTTGCAGTCAATTCTGCAATTTCTCCGGACTAGATTGGACATAGAGCATTTATGGACACGAGATTCTTGACAAATTAATTAGGACATTATTTTCAGAGGTTCTACTTCATGGTTCCATAGTGCTAAGTAAAATTATTAGCATTTCGGTTTGATATTGATCAATCTTAACCACTCTAACATTTTTCACATTTTTTGTTACAGGTTAGATTCTGAATGTGAAACATTCTGTGGTATGACAGATGATAACTTAGCTGATAGATCTGTAATAAGTCTTTTTACATTGTACCTTTAAAGGGATCTTAAGGTAGCAACATTTGTAATAGCCAAGCTATTTTCAAATAACGAGGTTTTGTAATTCACGATTAGGCTCCATAACTCGTTCCCAGACTTTCTTTCATGAACCCACACTGGGTGGCATTCCCCACTTAAGTACGAGAAGGGAACTGGGGCTGATATTCGGGCCGCAATTGTTTCTGGGATGGTTTTATTGGGAGGAGCCAGTCTGCTGTTGGCCAATTTTTTTTCCCTTGCCTACGAACAATCCCGGAAGTCTTTGCGGAAGTTAACTCGATCCAGTTTTCTTGTCGTTGCTAAAGTGGGAGATAGGGAGAAAAGTTTGAACATGAAGTTATCCGTGAGCATACAGCCCTTACTCTGACAGGTAAAATTGATTCAGCTACTCCTGTATCCAGATATTCTTTGACATGGTTTGAAAACATTTCAATTGCTGTTACATTATTCAGTCGGCAGTTCAAGTCAGACGATCAACCCCCTTTTCACTCTCAAGAGTTCTAATATCCAAAATTAAGTGTCAATTCTAGTTGTTATCGTGTAAAATACTTAATAGAAATAGTACAAAGTGAAGGTAGTCCTGAAGTGGTTTCATTTTAATGGTCACAGCATAGGATTTTAACCACAGATTTACAAGAGGAAAAATAATATTAATAGGACCTCGTGAAATGACTGCTAAAGAGGTTTCATTTGAATGGTCACACAGTAAGATTTCATCCACATACTTTACAACCTAGTTAGGGTAGGTAATAGTATGATTTGTAGTGATGTTTGGCATAAATACCACGAGTGATATTTCAAAATTGTTACACGTAATTTCACGAGCCGTTGGGCGAGTGAAATTTGAGACAATTTCGAAATATCACGAGTAGTATTTATGCCAAATATCACATACAGATCATGGTATTATTTGTTTATACTACTACCTACAAAAGGTTTGTAATTTTTACATGTAGGTTTTTCAAATTAAGCTGAAATACCACTGCTCTAAGCCAATCAAATTGCAGAAATATCTCATGCAGTAGTGTAATACAGCTTAATAAATAGTTGTATGTTAAAGGACTGCTAAAGGGATTTCATTTGTGGCTACACCTTTCGATTTCATCCACAGTCTCAAGGGTTAGAATTACATAAAGCTGCTGTAGATGAATAGTATCATGTGGAAGTACTGCTGAAGAGGTTTCATTTGTACGGTAACACCATAGGATTTCATCCACGGACTCAACAGTTAGAAGCACATACTAAATAAATATTACCATGTGGAAGTACTGCTGAAGAGGTTTCATTTGTATAGTGACACCATAGGATTTAATTCACAAACTCAAAATGTAGAAATACAATTATGTCTTCACTTTTGACTTTCGTAGGAACAAGTCCAACGCAAGTCGACCATTAGGTTTCAAAATAGTGGGATAAATGCATAGAACTTAAAAATTCATGCGCCACTTCAGAAACGAGAGGAAAACTGGGGCTCGTTAACTTTCGCAAAGACTTCAAATAATCTCTGAGAGGAACCATGTATGTTTTAGTACAGTTTGTAATAGAAATTACAAGTTGTATTGCTCCCGATTGCCTCCAAACAAGACTTGCACGTTGAGTTTTGACTCCAGCCCTTTTTTACGGTGACACGGGCGATTGATATTCGAAGGCATCAAGCTTTTATATTGTTTGCAATTTTCATTGTTTTGACCTCAGTTTAATTGGGGTGAGTTGTTGATTTTGGATTGCATTATCAATTACCGCGTCAGGTAGTGAAAGCACATGGGCTGTGCCTTGTGTCTGTGTAAAGCTGGACTTTAATCTTGATTTGTTATGTTGTACTTGAAAGTGCAATCCGACAAACCATCAATGACTTGTAGTTGTAGCATTTATTTTTCTGTAAACGTTCATGTTTATGTTAAAACTGCTATGTAAAATTAAATTATACTGAGACATCTGTTAGCATATTCGCTTTTCTTTCTCTCCCAGTTACATGTATAACAGAGCTAGGGTCAGATGTCAAACGAAATAGACCTTAAAATGCATTTACCTGGATCATTGCGCAAGTGTCCAAAATCGAAATTCATCATTTGCAAATCAAAATAAGTGGAATTATGTGACAGACTGGTGGAGAAGTTTTTCGGTGGCCACACCAAAAGATTTTGTCTGACAGTTTGACCTGGCTAGTACATTACGTCTGATTGGGTTCTGATAATTAAATATTATTTTATGACCTAGTGCGAAACAAAAACTATTTAATCATTAGCACTGCACAGTCATCAAGTTGGGATTCTAATCCTCTTTTATACTAAGACATCTGTTTCACAGGGTACCCAACGCGATCCAGCGAGTTGCTTTATGTTGTCTCAGGTTGCTGAAGTAATTTGATACATAGGAAGGTATAGCTTTTTATGCAGGTACGGTTTAAAGTATCGGGACACCTTAGCGCTTAAAGTAGTTATGGACCTTAAGATCCGAAGACGGCGAAGGCGGGAAACCCTGATTAAAAAGTCAATTCGCGTTGTTTTAGCCTTCATCGTGATTATTCCAATTCACCACTTTGTCAAATGTAGGCGAACTCTTTTTGAGCTGAATTCCTAAGAACCACATCCAAATTCAGAAAGGGAAAGAAAATTTCGTTTTGCCTTCCTCCATAGTAACGTGAAATTAGGAATTTTCACGTCGTAGTCATGCAGTGACGGCAAAGAAATGTATTAAGAAATTGCTACACGTGCGAAATTGTCGTTTTGTTAAGTAAACATGTTGTCGTCGTCGGATCTTAAGGTCCCTATCGTTACAGTAGGGAGCTTAACCCTTTAAGTCCCAATAGTGACCAACAGCAATTTTCTCCTAACGATATCCATACATTGTCAAGAGATAAGGTTGTGAGAATGTAAAAAATGATCACAAATGAGAAAACGTCTTGATGTTTTATCAAATTCTCTCAACTAATTCTTTAAGGAAATGTATGGAGATCAGTTTGGAGAATTTGTATGTGGAAACTGGGGCTTAAAGGGTTAAGCAACGACGACGGCAACGGCAACGACAACGGTAAAAAAGCGATAGGTTTAGATTAGAAAAACAACGACTTTGCACGTGCATCACGCTTACTTGTTTATTTCCTAGCCGTTGTTGCACGACTACAACGTAAAACTTCCTAGTTTTGCAGTTTTGCATTTTATAGAGGACGTGAACGCTACAATTGACAAAGTAAGTGGGTAGGAATATTCGCTATAAAGACTGAAAGAACGCAAATTGACTCAAAAAGCGACGCTCTTGTTGCCGTCGCGTCGTTGAATTTTAAAGTCCCTATTGACTTGAGTTCCGGGGGGTGGTGATCATTGTATAATGTATCAGCCAGTAGTGTAAGTATAAATAATACCCAATGATAATGAAGTGTTGTAACTGAGTGGTGTAAGATAATGAAGATACGCGAATCAGTAATAATAAAATAAATGCCATTCCTATCTCTGTCTTTTCTCTAGTCTGGTAAGAGTCTTCTCCTGCGATTGAACAAGCAACCTAGCGGTTTTCGTTGCGTAAGGTCTTTCAGTGTCAGGTTTTCTATTTTGGGCGCTGTACTTGTTATTAAAATCCGTTGACTCAGCTGGAGAGAGCTCCTTTCATGACAGTAATGTGTGAGAATGAGGTAACGAGGTCGCCAAGTAAGAAGGCCACGCCTCCTTGACTCAGATCTTTCTTGCTTTCAATGACATCCCTCTTCTCCTGTCGGCTTTTACTCTCCACCGGTGAAATGTCGAAACCCTCCTAACCAATCTCTGTACATTTCGATTCTTAAACCTTCACGTCATTCCACATTTTTAGCCGGATCATTATTGAGGCGAGGAGTGCCAAGATATAAGAAAAAATAAATTTGTTTCATTTTAATACTGCACCGTAATTTCTTTGACAAGCTAAATGTAGAATCGAATGAGAGGAAGTCCCAATGTCGGCCTGACATAGGGACCTTTACATTGAAATAGTTATTTATTTAACAGCATTCTTATTCATATTCAGTTGTATAAAGGTATTGCACAAATGATTAATCAGCGGACTAAGCCAAGCTGCGACAGCTTTGTAGTAAGACTCTTCGCTGGGTGGGATGATAGGCCGTTCATCTCTGCGTTGCTCCGCTGAGAAATGAGGTAGAATGAGTGATTTCCACGCCAAATCGTTATTTTTTTCAAAGCAAGTCAAGTCCAACCCCTGCGGCTTGTACGTCTTGGAGTGTGTTAAGATATTAACGGGAACTCGGTGCCTAAACTCTTGATTACTTAACTGGGATGATCCCTGGCAATTCCCTTGTAGGGATACTACGATCTGGTACCTTAGTCTCAGTCAATTATAAAATTTCCTGAAAATTTGGGAAACTCACGAAATTTAACACTCGCGAAGATTAAAATCGCTGTCGCTATACCCCCCCCCCCCCCAACCCTTCCGGGATCCCTACTACCCTTCAGGGTACCTTGCGAGATCCTAACGAGACAATTTACAAGTTAGAATACTTTTGTAAGCCCTTCGTAGCTCTTTCCTCATGAAGCCATATATAATGGGATTGACCACACTGCCGCAGGTAAAAGATATTATCTGCCAATAATACACCTGTCGCGGAAGAGAATATTGCTGATGAATTGTTTCGTAAAGGTCGAGGCAGATGGAAGGCGTCCAAAACCCAAGGGCTGCAACGACGGTTATGAACAACATTTTCGATATTTTGGCTTCGTTGACGAAGGATCTTGAGGCATCTGTCACCAAACCAGACTTTGCAATATCCGCAAAATGTTTCCGAACATTTTTGTAGACTCGAAAGTAGCAGAAAGTCATTGTTGGAAACGTAACAGCGCTGACTGAAAGATAAGCACACAGTGTATAACGATGAACGCCTTTGCTGTGAGCCATGTCAAAGAAGCAAAGATATTTTCCGGGATGAAAGCGAAAGGGTTTATTGGTAAACGAGAACAGGGCGACCACTACCGCTATTGAGGCAATCCATGCAAGAATTATGGAAAGCAAAATGTTTCTTTTGCTGTATAGCCTCTGATAGACGCTTATTGGCTTGCAAATTTTGAAATATCGGTTTATAGCGATCAGCGTCATGGTGAAAAGGGAAACTTCAACGAAGATGAAAATAAGGCTTCCCTGAACCTGGCACCATGCATCACCGAAAATCCACTTTCCTTTTATCAGAGCCCCAAGGGAGAAAGACATGCACACGAAGGCAAAAAGCATGTCTGCGACTGCCAGGCAAGTTATGTAGTAGTTCTGTGGCGCTCTAAATCCTCTAATTTTATACAAAGACAAACACAAGACAGCATTACCCGTGAAAGCTGACATCACGAGGAAGGCACAGATCGTTGATTCATACGCGACAGTCCCATCTGTTCTGTTTTCCAACGCTGTTGCCAACTCCCTTTCAATCTTTGATGAACCTGCCATAGGGTCGGCCAGCTTTTGCGACAGAGGGTGGAAAAGTAGGAGGATTTAGCAAGGTGCAATAGCCAACAGTCGTCGGAGAAACCAAAAGAACGGAACTCGCATAAAAAGATTCTTCACAGGCACTTCAAATAAGACTCAAAAGGAAAGGAAATTAGATACCTTTAGGACGAACAGGAAGTTGCAAAAGCGAAACTGAACTTTGGATGAAGAACAGGAAGTTTAAGTAGATTGGAGGTACCACCACCCCTACGTCAAGTGGCTTTTATTACACAAGCTATTTCACGGATAAATCAATGGTTAAGTGGCTGATGTTAAGCCTCTAAAGAGACTAACGTTGCACTCAAAATAATGGCTTTAAAATGTACATGATGTTCTATCATGGCTATCTTTTCAGTCGGTGCCGACACCAAAAGCGCTAAATCCCGCGTCCCGTTTATAATCCCGAATCGCGCTCCCAATATTCTTTAGAATCCTGAATCCCGGCGGGCTTCAAAAAGGCCAAATCCCGGATCCCGAAAAACCAATGGGGACCCTGCAACATACGAAGACTGCAGACTTGCAGACTCAGCTGCAGACTGGCAGGTAAACGAGGTAAACGTTGTAAAATACTTTAAAACATTCCCTATCCCTAAGTTAAGCGGGTTTTTGCTGCATCCGGGTCTATGATAAAATTGTGGGCGCTTTCCAGCGGAATTTTAAATGGAACACGTTTCGTGTTCATCCGGGTCAGAAAAATGGAAAATAAAAACGTTTTCCCGGTTGGAAATTCCTAACGGAATGTCGTGTTCCATTTACGTTTCTCGTAGATTTGACAACGGTCGGGCAAGAACAAAGGATAAAACATTTTTGCGAATAGCGACGGAAAAAAGGCGCGGAGTGGTTTTTTTTTTTTTAAATCATTTTTTGACAACTTGTCTCAAGACTGTAAGACATAGAAATACAAATTTGGGAATCAAGGTGCTTTAAAATGAAAAAGATCCCTTACGATATTTTTTCGCTCAAAAACGCCGTTTTATTTTTAAAATAGGATAAAACATTTTTGCGAACAGAACGAGAACGTCATTTAAACGACGACGCGCGCAAATTAACAACTGGCTTGACCAATGTTTTTGATTTTTAAAGCGATTTGGCAACAAAACGGGCACCGGAGTTGTCGTGCGCAACCAACAACTGGCTTGACCAATGGTAGAGCGGCAAATTGGGCACCGGAAGTCGTGTTTAGTCCTTTCCTCGCGCTTTCCCGTCGTCATCAGCCTATTTGATGGTGTGACAGTGACATCGCGGCAAGACCATCTACTCGGGGAAAACAAATACATCACCTTGAGGTCAACTGTGAACAAAGTTCTTTGTCGGCCAGTTGTCAACGTTTGACTAAATTCTAGGCAGTTTCAGAAGTAATACTTGCAAGATCTATGGGTAGGCTGGCACTTCTGGAATTCACGGTTTTCGTTTTTATCGCCATCTTTTTCTCCCACGTCTTAAATCTCTTGTAAGTCAGAAATCTTGGTTCATCGGTTAATGACTCAAAGCTCTTCTCGCGTCCGTAAACGAGTGTATCATCTTATCCATATTTTTCTAGGATTAAACTTGGTTTTTTTACGCAGACGATTAACCACTCCCCTGGAACTTGTAGAGTGATACAAGGTAAGTTTGCAGAACTCAAAATACTTGTAGCAATCGCCTTATTTCTTGGGGGTGAAACAGCGTCTTCTCAGTCATTTCCTGTGCTTTTGGTCACGGCTTATCTTCATTTTGCGAACAATTTAAAAGGGGCAGTTGCGATCATTCCATTTACAAATTTGGATAATTTTTTTTTCAATATCTTTTTTTCTTCCTTCTTTTAATAGTCATTTTATTCAGTTTTCTGTCTAATTCCGGTAAAGTCAGTCCGGGATCAGTCAAAACCCCCGAACAACTAATTTTGAGTTTACAGGGCAACTAGGCTACGTAAGCGTAACATGACTAACATGTGCCTGGAACGTGAGGGATTGAAACTTGTAAGAATAAAACTATCTTCTATATGAAGTCCATTCGTTTGTTTAGCTGTACAACGCCATATTGTTTGCTGTTTGTTATTAAGTGCATGTAGACATGCAGCACGCGCGTTTTGGACATTTGTGGCTCGAAATTGTTGTTAGTTTGGCATCATTAACAAATCATGATTACTTTCAAATATACTGCAAAGCCTCTTTGTCGAGGAGATTGATTATTCACTGAAATTTAAGCCGTGTTTATTAAAACGAGTGTGATTGATTGTTTTCTTTTTCTAGCGAACGGTTCTGAAGATTTCGCCCTTCTCCCTGATGGACTGGTCTTTGTTTCTTCCGTAAGTGCTTGTTGTTTATTGTTGGGACTGTATTTATGCATGCCTTAAGTCTTTGGAGGAGGGTCCGAAAGGCATTTCTTCAGAAAACAGCTGGGAAAGCAAACTGTACTATTCTCAGTTGTGCCTTATTTTTCCTGGACAGTAACTTTAAATTAAGCTCCCCTGCAAAAAGATTGCAAAATGAGGATGGGTAGGATACACCCCAAACGTGAGGAAGGCCGATAAGGTTGTGGTTAGGACTAGGGTTAGGGTTAGCACAGGAAATCTTAAAACAAATCCATCACGTTCAGACCACAGTTTTTCAAGAAAATTAGTGACCGTACCCTTTGCATCTTTTGTTTAAAAATGCAGAGTTGTTTCAAGTACTCTGTGTAATATTTCTCTGTGTTTAGGCTGTACCTTGGCTACATGCCCTCTGGGTTCTGTTTACAAAGGTGGTTTGCAATAAATAACTTTAAGATCAGGTGATGGAATTGGCCAACATAACAATTCAACTAGTCTTTGATAAAACAGATTTCTGAGAAACTGCCTTTGAAGAATTAGCTGGTCTGTTTATAGGCGACCTTCTATTGCCTGTAGAAATCATGCATTGCCCGCGCAACCTACAGATTAGCAGATAACTGATAGCAATTATCTGCCCTGATTTCCGAAAGAAATGTAGTCTCAACCAAAGAGAAGACACATTGTGAAGTAATGCGTCAGGTTTAACTGGCACCAAAGATGTGCACACTATTAGCAATGCAAAAAAATGGAAAGCCTGCGTTGCAGTAATAAAGATGGCGATTTTAATCTTAGAGATATCAATCGTGTTACCATTAGTAATAACACTGGTGATGATTAAATATGAATGATGATTATGATGACGTTGTTGATGATAGGGATGTATGATGACGATGATGATCATAAATTTTAAATGTCCTAACGAGTTTTGCTTCTTTTTTCTTCTTTAATTTACCAACAGGGACTCCGCTATAAACTGGCACTCTATTACGACCCCGAGATTGACAAACGAGACTCTAAGCTGTTAACATTTGACCTCAACAAACCTGACCAGGATCCAGTTGAATTAACACTGAAGAACTTCAATCGCACGGGATTTAACCCGCACGGGATTAGCGTGTATCGAGACCCATCCTCGGGTCAGGTATCCTTGTTTGTTGTGAATCACCGACCAGATGCCCAAGCCATTGAAATATTTGACTTTGAGCGGGAAACACATTCATTAATACATCGCCGTTCTGTGGTGGATGATTTGATCTGGAGTCCAAATGATGTATATGCAGTAGGTAGGTGTCTAGTTAATTAAGGTGGCTCGATCCTGTTTTTCAGTGATAACACCTACTCTCCTTGAACACGAAAAGCGAAGATGTCTCAAAAAAAGTAGGAAATCGAATTGTGCTCGTTACATTTGTAGGGCGATCATTTCAAGTGGCGATTATAACTCCTGGCCTTGGGGGAATGTAAAAAATTGAAAAGAGTTGAATGACCATTTCACATTCCAGCACTTTGGATTAAGATATAAGGGATTTTTACCTTTATTGGATAAAATGTGGCCTGCAAATACAGCCTCCTCTCATCGCTCCTCGCCGCTCTGCTTGGACGTTTCGTTTCCTTTCAAGCCTGTTTCGCTGAAAAGCCTGGTGGCGAAGAGCGATGATAAGTGCCTTTTTCGCAGATTAGGAACTGAGAGGTATTGGAGATCTTTTTAAGAACTCAACAATGGTAAAAAGAGGTCCGGTCAGCAATTAGCTTTAGAATTAGCTCGAGAAAAGGTGCAAACAAAACAAAACAAAACAACAAAGACAACAACATCATAGCGATTTCAGCGTGCTTATGTATGACGTTTACGTTAGGCTGTTGCAGTTAGCAATATGCGACGGCTAACGCTGAGCCGGTGCAGTCATGTGGCCAATACAGTGAAAAAAGTAGTCCGTATAACCGGCTATCTATCAGATGTTTGATTAACAATATCTTGGAAAAACTAAAAAAAAAAAAAACGCATGAGACGATTAACTTTCTTCTTTCCAATATATACCCTTTGCAGGTCCTGATAGCTTTTACGTCACCAACGATAACTTCTTTCATTTTGACCGCACTGTGATGAGAAACTTGTGGCTTTTTTTCCTCAATTACTGGCTGCATTGTAACATTGTGTTTTTTGATGGATTCAAGGCTATTGAAGCGTTTGTAGGCGTTCATCCTAATGGTATTGCTATGGATAAAGACGAAAGGTTAGTTGGTGTGTCTATAAGGTGCGTTGCTTAGCAAACAAAAGGCGTTGCATGCGCCCGCATTTTATGAAATTGATCCCTAACGGAACGGTCACCTTTTTTCTCAAAAAAAAAAAAAAATGTTAAACTGATGCCAAATTAATGGAGAGGTGGACACATTTTCCCGCTATTCAAACTTATACGAATTGAGCTCATATATAATTTTAGCTAGTTTTGTGTTACTCACGCGAGATGATACGACAAGGCGGGACTAAATAGCCAGCGAAGGTGCGCTTCGCTGCTCGCGTGTCTCACTGACTCCCTTACCACTCTCGCTCCCAACAACGAGACCCAGCAAGTATCTTTCGTTCAAACAGACAACGTAAACCCAGTCCAGCGATTTGAACGCAGACAACCATAAAAAAGAACTGAAATTTATCTTCAGCGATCTTTTTTTCTCATGGATCGCTGTGACATCTAGCTGCAAACATTGTTAAGTTGTTTCCACTCAATCCATGCGATCGTTAAACTTGTTTCAGCAGCGATCTAAGCTGGTCTAAGCTTACGCTGTCATGCGCAAACCACTACTTGAAAGCAGTCCAACTCAGAGATCAGCTGAATCCGGCAATTAAGCTGTTCCCAGCCATGTTTTTTTCCGTTGTAGGTTTGCGTTTACTCCCGACTACACTTCTCTTAGCGTTGCAATTTACAGACGTCGTCAAGACAACACATTAGAAAAGTGTCAGGTTAGTTTGCATGTGTTAGAGTAATTCCTTGATATCGCCCTTACGAGAGCGAAGTGGGGTGGGAAGGGAGATTTTTAGACTCCCTTTATGACTCCCTGGTATCCTTGCTCATTCTAGATGGGGTGGGACAGGGAGATCCAAATCTCCCGTCCCTTGTACCTAGCATTTCCTGCTCCCACCCCTTTTGTCTTGTCCTCTGCACTTAAGTCCTTTTTCGATTGCGAAATATTAAGCATCCCCCACCCCTTACCCCTCAAATTTCCCCCTCTTCCCTTCCTTTTAGAACTCCCACTATCGCGCCCTTTCGTCACCTCCCGCACCCCTTTTTCTCCCGAACTACCCCTCCCCTGTCCTCCCCCAACATCGTACCTTACATCACTGCGTATTACCTAAATACCTGTTGTTTTCTTCAACCATAGTTACTTCACCTCTTCAAAATCCTTCACTTAAATATGTTATACGTTGAAACAGTTTCTTCAATAACGTTTGACGTCGTTTTATGTTCTGCTGTTTCGACTAACATTGGTAATCTTTTTATTAAAGCTAATGAAAAGCATGAACACGTGACCAGGTTCTCTTCCTTCGGCAGTTGTTATATTAACACATCGAGATTGAATCAAAACTAAGGTTCTTTTGCTAGGTTCGGGGCTAAGCTTTGGAACTCCGTTTGCGATGAACTCCGTCAACTCCCCAAGAGAGCTTTTAAAAATACGTAATAACAACTTGTTGTTATGATGAAGCGTCTATTCTGCTTCAGAAAATTGCGATGAGTCGTTTATTTTAGTTGTTTTTGTAGTTATATATGCCAGTAACTGTTACAAGTGGTTGATTTTGTAAATGTTTTTTATTCACGTTTGAGCTTTATTTTTTATTTATTTATTTTCATTTATCACTGACTGGCCTCCACTAGCACCTGCTATTTGCGGGCGGAAATGAACTCCATGTATGTTACTTGTTAATAAAGTGTGTAAAGTGTGATAGGGTGCAATAGTTGCGAGCCCGTCAGTGTTCTCTGCTTTGTTATTTGTTTTTGTTAGCTTCTGAGCTTAATGTGCATAATGTTTAATAGCATTCCATTTTTTGAACTTACTGACCAACAGAAACGTCACATTAATTTATTTCGCCACAAACGATCGATTGAGCACGGTCAAAGAACTTTCTACATAAACTACACTTAGCACCGTTGTTGTTTAAGTTATGTTTGGAGTTTCATAGCCAGTCCGGCTTCTACCAACTTTACTTCAACAGGCTATTCCAGTGGGGACATTTATAGATAACATCAACCTTGACCCTGTGACTGGAAATCTGTGGCTTGCGGCATCGCCTCGGGTTACTGACTTCGCGGAACACTCTAAGAACCTTAGTCTTCCCAGTCCTTCTCAAGTATTAACTTTGCAGCTTGGAAAGCCATCTTCATCCGGGGAAGCTTTTCCTGATTGTGAGGTTCGCGAAGTATACATGAATGACGGGAAGGAAGTGTCGGGCTCCTCGTCTGCAATTTTTTACAAAGATCGTTTGCTGATTGGCTCTGTATTTAGCAATATGGTGTTCTGTGAAGTGAAGTTTTATTAGCTGCCTGCAAAGTCACCTTACAACCAAGAAAATGTAGTCTGACTTGAGACCTTTCCGATTTCATTTATTAAACAGTCTAAACTTGCTAATGTTTTATTAAATTATCAGCATGTCTTAGATAACTCGAGACAAAAGTCGTTTTGATATTTGTTAGGGTTGAGAACAATAAGAACCTACTCACGATCAAAGACTAGCTGAGTTTGGTAGTTAATTAGATCATTGCAGTCAAACAGAGCATGCCCAAGGACTGTTTTATTTCCTATCACCCTCTCGTTCGCAAAAGTGGGTCGGAAGGTCAGGAAAACAAAGATCATAATTTGTCGCAAGACCACGCCATTTTTACGGACCGGTTTATTTTCAGATAATTTTTAGAGCACTTTTTCACGCGAATTAAAGTTGAAGTGTAAGATATCAAAAAGGAACATTGACGTCTTTTATTATATAGATACTGATAAAATACCAGGATTTTTCCTTTTACTAAAAAATCATATCTTCATCGCGCGCAGTGAAGATACTATTTTCATCTTTCACGTGTGAGGTATCATGATTAGCCAATTAAATAAAATCCGAGAACATGACAGGCATCTTGCGATAGGTGACCACTTTAATTGTACTATTTTGCTGTTTCCAAAATGAATAAACAAAAGAGTTGTGTTTTATATAGGAATTTCATCAGTATCGATAAAATAAACAGAACATTACAAGGCCGTTTGGGAATACGAATTTTATCTTCTCGTGCTGAAAGTATCTCTCACCCGTGAGAGATACTTTCAGCACTCGAAGATAAAATTCGTATCCCCGCGCGGTCATGTAATATCCTCTATTTAAATGTATGGCAAAAAATATCAGTTTTAAGTCTGTAGCTTTGCTGACTAGTTTGTGGGACTTTAAACTTTGCTGACTAGTTTGTGGGACTGAAAACATATTCTACGTTCACGCCAAAACCGTTCTAAAAATAAATTAGTCGGAGAGAACCCCGTGACACAAGTACATAGAAGTTGTCCGCTCAGTATTATGGGCTCCTGATCTGAGTTGAGGCATATAATAAAATAGACCAGCTCTACGGTAAACTGTGAGTTTTGTTTCCCTTCGATCTTCGATGTTCCTTTCAGCGCCGGTTTCCCTTAGGAAATGAGGGCCTCGGCAAAACAACCGCGGGGAAACCGCAGGAACATGCGGGAATGGTGCATTTTTGACAATTTCTTGGGGTCGCAGGGTGGAGTTGTTTAGTTTTGGAAACAAGCGCTTTAGACCCCAGAGGTGCACCCTCGGGATTAGGTCGACACTGGTCAGCATTACATAGCTTATGACTGAAAATGATGATGGCCGCAAACATTGAAGGATTGACAAGATTTACGAAAGGGAACAGGGGCAGCTCTGAAATTTTTACGCAAGGCGTGAGAAGATATTGCGGCCACGGTTTACGTGTCAAAACTCATAAGGTATGGCTTAAATACAGGCGTTTACTGAGTGTTTGAATGTGTAACTCCCTGAAGAAGTCTACGTCAGTTAGACGAAACGCGTAAGAGAATAGAGAGGAGAAGTGTGACGTCACGTTACCATGGTAGCAAAATTTCTGGATCACAACAATAGGGAGTTTAAGCAACGACGACGGCGACGGCAACGAGAACCGTTAAAAAGCAATAAGTTTATATTAACAAAACAACAACTTTGCACGTGCATCACGCTTTTTTGTACATTTCTTTGCCGTCGTTGTACGACTGCGACATGAAACTTCCTAATTTCACGCGCTTGTCTTATGGAGTGTGTAAACACAAAACAGAAATTTTCTTTTTCTTAACTTAAATACCGTCCTTTTGGATTCAACCCCAGAAAATTTCGCCAACATTTGACAAGATCGATTAAGTTTGAAACAGTGCGAATTCACTTTTT